AGAAAGAAAGAAGGAAAAGAAAGACACATAAACAATCAAACATATTTCTTCGACATACAAACATACACACTACACTAGCAACAAATCACTACTTCCAGTACAGGTCTCACCTTTTTGCCTACACTTCAGGATCTCAAATCCCACGTGCCAAGCCAGCTGAACGGCCACCCACACACCCAGAACAGCAAAGCCAAATTCTCGAACCTCAGACCTCAGGTAGCTGATATCAAACGCCAGAAACATCGTGATGCCTGGGTGAAAAGGAACAAAAGGAATTTCTACATCTGAAAAAACTCACAAAAGTAATAAGAGATCAGATAAAACAAAATAAAATAGAGCAGATGTACCTATGATTTACACTGAACTGAACTCAAATAAAAGCTGCAGAGGAGTCTACCTATATCATTTACAATAAACTGTACCTAAAAAGAAAGGTAACAAAAACTAAACAAATAAAAAACTAAACTAAACAAAAAATTACATCAGAGTAGACGTACTGCAAGATCAGTACCCCCTGAGCTCTCTAGCGTGTGGCATGTGGGGGAACTAAACAATACATTTGCGTTCAAGGAGAAACATCATATATTTATGATATATGCTGTTTTAAACATCCTGCAGGGTAGAAAAAGAAAGGTGGTGCGCTGTAGATGGGCAGGTGGGGAGTGTAACTGACCGGCCAAAATGTGAGAAGCCTGGCCCAAAAACCAGTGGGCCCAGTTAAAGACCGGCCGAAGTGAGTTGTCGAAGCCTGGACGTAGAGCACCTCCAATGACCTGTAGACTGACCAGTGCAGTCACCGTGAGGCCTACGTATGCGTGAGGATCTGCAGCCTGAGGGGGAAGGGAAGTTGAGGGGAGGTGGGTGAGGCATTAACATAATCAAATTATGGAGATTATAGCAGTGAGAGTAAGGTAAGAAGAGAGAGGTGGTTGGACGGACTGATGGAATGGATGGATGGACGGACAGACAGACAGAACAAACAAGCAGGTAGGCAAGCACTAAGACAGAGATTTGGGGGGGGGGGGGGGGAGAAATTGGGAGGGTAAATTAAGGGGGGGGGGGGGGGGGCAAGATAAGAGGGAGGCATAGAGATGAAGAAAGGCAAAAAGGTGGGGAGGGGGGAGTGGTTGGTCAAAATGAAAGAAAGCGAAATAATAACTTATAACTCCATAGAAAATATGGGCCTAATAAGATTATGAAAAAAAAAATTCAAACTATTTATTCTTCACTTATGTTAAGCCATTGATTTGAAGTCTACAATAGGATGGCCCAACAAGATGTGCCTGGATTCTGACAGAAATAGGTTTGGAGAATAAAATCATTAGAAAGAAGTACATTGTTTGTTCACTTGCAGACTGTTTGATCATCTCACCGAGTTTAAACAAAATGCTTTCACATACTAAGAGCTTTTTTTACGCTGGGAGAAAACAATATGGACAGAGAAATAAAAAGGAAAGACAGAGAGTGCAGAAGGAGAAATTACCAGTAAATCCATCTAACCGCCCACATTAATCTTACAATTTTTGTAGTAAAAATACAAATGTTGTACATGATTTGATCTCTTTAGAAGAAGCACTACTTTTAACCCTGCCCGTGAGATCCAACAACGTATGGTTGAGTTATATCCTATCAAAAATATGGAAACACTCAATACAGCATCTTTTTCCGCTTTAGAACACTTTCACTTTACTTTAAATACTTTACTATTTCTTATCCAGAAGTAATTTGACATCAGGCCCTTCGGCTTGCCCACTTGAGAATGAAACTCACATCTTTTGTACATTTGACAAAGACGGTAACCACATAGGCCAACACTGGAATGGAATTCATAATAATACACAAAAGTGTTCAAAAGCTAAAATATTACCAGCAAGCTTTGTCTCACACACAGGCTTGCAAATATTTATACAAAGAAAGAAAAGAGAAAAAAAAAAAAAAAGAGTTCCCAAATAACCTCCTGAATTCCTGGCCCGAAGTGAGCAAAGACGAGGATGATTCCAATAACAGTCAAAAGGAAAACAAGGATGGCTACTCCTCGGTGGAGCTGGAACCAAACTTTGGTGCCTCCCACTCTCTTCTCTGATAGCCAGTCCCTGTGAACAAATACAGTGGATATCAGAAAATTCTCTCCAAGGGAGAAACACAACGAAAATGTATTAAAAGCATCAACGCAAGAAATATAATACAGTCGAACCTGTGTAAGACGGCCACCCATGGTAAAGCAGAAAAGTGGCCATATAAGACAGGTGGCCGTCCGTCTTAGGCAGGACTGATCAAGATGAAGAAAATAAACTATCCCTTTCTGAGGTCCCAACCGAAGGTGGCCGCATTGTTGCTGTTGTTGTTGTTTTCGGTGGGGTATTGTTTTTCATTTCTTTTTCTTTTGTAGCTACTTTTGTGGAAGAGTAATAATATAACGAAACGTGCCTGACAAGGAGGACCAAGTGTTATGGTAAAACAAACACATGGGTCGCCACCACTCGAAGAACAAGCGACGCTTCTGTCACAAGTTAATGTTGACGTCCATTGTTACTTTGTTACAGACTGGGTAAACAGTGACCACTCATCTCACTTACAATTTGTGTATGAGTTCTGGGCGGGGCTTATGGGTTATGAGGGATCACATGCTTACCTCATCAGCAGGTGAAAATGTGTTACCTATTGGTCAGCAGTGGGAGGGATCTATGCAACATGACTGGTTGGAGGGACTACCGAACAATAACCAATAACAACAGGTGATTGGATTATGACGTTTCGCCCACAACACCAGGGGCCAACGCACAATTTTTGACAAAATGTCATGGAGTCACTAAGGTGGCCGTCTTAGACAGGTGTCATTGCTTGATGTGGTTGGCCTGGGGTTGTGTGTTAAAATATTGTGGCCGCGGCCGCGTTGGGCAGGTGCCCCTTTTACACGGTTAAATTATATTTAAAAAACGCAAGGGGGGAAATGGAAAGTGGCCGTTTGTACAGGTGGCCGTCTTATAGAGGTGGCCATCAGGGCAGGTTCAACTATACTTTAAAAAATTTGGGGCAAACATGATTTTCGTCAACACTACCAAGCAGTAGCTTCAATAAATTATTCATTTAACTCCTCATCTCTGGCAGGCCGCTCCCAACGTCATAAGTGACGCATCTTGATGAAATCAGGTGCTCGTCAAAATACTTAACTCTTTGAACCCCATCAGATGCTGGGAGCCAGTACTAGTGACAACTGTTTTGTTTTATTAAGTGCTAGCTTTTTGCTCGTTTTTCGGAACTATTCCAGAACCAAGTTTTTTAGTAATGACTATAAACCTTTGTTTCCGCTATTTAGAAGTTGAAGGCTAGCTTCTGGGGTTATAATGAGACATAGTGCACCAGGTTTAGGTGACTAAAGAAAAAACTTCGGGAAACGGTGGAAAAAAAACCAGGGCTTAAAGAGTTAAATTGAAAAAAACCCGCATTTTTCTGCCAGTTGAAGAATTTTTCTCGAATTTGTGTTTTTAAGCTCAACATTTTTAATGTCCATTTAATAACACATTTCAGTGTGGATTTCACTTAAAAAACACTGATTCACGGCACAAATTTTGCAGGTTTCCAAGGTTTATCAAGCTTTGGAAGTATCAAACTTTGGTGGCCATTTTCTCGTTAATTTTACCTCTGAAACCAGGCGACCCCACCTCCTTTAATAACAAATGTCTCGACTTCTATTCAAGATAGATTGGTATTTTTTCCATCCAAAGCAAGGCAAATTAGCAAGCTCTAAGCTGATACCAATAACTCCACATTCCAAAAATTGATGAGCGCCTGATTCCAACGCATCGTAACACATTAACCCTATCCGTACACGCTGGGGTCATTTTGCACCTCCGCAGTTGTATTCTTCACATTTTAGAATACTTATAGTACAAAGATCACTTAAAAATTTTCAGTATTTCCCCAAAAAATCATTTTGTTAGACTGCTATGCAAAGGATACGGATCGGATTAACGAGTAAATTTCCTCTTTGAAAGTGGTGGCACAGAGTATACCACGTCGTGTGGAAACAAGAGTAAAACACTACGTACGGATGGGGTTAATTTTCAGCATTTGTTGAAAACATGTCTCTTTTACCTCGAGTTCATTCATTAGATATAAAACTATCAAAATAGGTTCACTTGTTTTGATTTAAAGACCAGTTTAGTGGCGCATATATATACCATTTTTATATTTCGTAATAAAAAAGTTCACTGTGGGTTTATCCCCCTTGGAGATAAAAAAAACTTTAAGAGACTGGAAGTAAAGTAATTGAAAGCTGTACAAGCAGGTAATATCTTCAACAGGAAAAAAAACCCACATAGAGCAGAAGCATGAATTTCACTTAGATGAAAAGTCAATGAGTGGCAACATGGCAAAGTGAATTATTGGTCTTTTTAAATAATACATAATAGTAATATTGTTATACTTTAGAATTACACAGTCCAATCTGACATTTTTGACCATTTCGAGTTACTAAGACCATGACGTCTGACAGCAACGGTTCTGTCTGCTCTACGAAAATCGTAAGATTATTCAGAGCCGTTATAAAGAATTGTAATTAAAAAAAGCTCGACATGTTGTGAAACTCAAAATATTTTACATTAGATCTCTCAAAACTAGGTATGGAGCAGAGAGAACCTTGTAATTCTGAGATAACAATATATAGGCAAACAATTTCCGTGTGAAATGAAACACCTTTTTAAGCCGTTCAAGTTCATGACTCTCATCATCATCATCATCATCATCGACATCATCATCATCCTTATAATTATCATCATTACTATCATTATTACTTTTCTTTTAATAATAGTAACATCAGTAACAATAAAAATAACAATAATAATAATAATAATAATAATAATAATAATAATAATAATAATAATAAAATAATAATATAAATAATTTATATTCTAAAACCAGAACAAAACAAACAATGAAAAGAAAACCAGTAACTTAATTAGTCTGTGACGTACTTGTAGTGTCTGGAAAGAACTGTGACCAGGCCAGTCAGGAAGATCCAGGCGACCAGCATGACAGCCGCTGAAATAGAAGGTTACGCGCCATAAATGATTACTGGGAGGCTGGGGGGGGGGAGAGAGAGAGAGAGAGAGAGAGAGAGGGTTTGACATCGACATGGATACAATACACGTTCTGTGGTCTGTACACAGCTCGTAAGAGTCTCTCCACCATCTCTATATCTTTGAAGACAACAAGACTATAGGCAAGAGGGAATTCGTCTTCCAATTTCGTCAGCGAAGTCATTATGTACCCCCGTTCTCTTTGAAAATTTCCACAATGTTTTGTCTTCTTCAAGTAGAAATCTTCGTGGAAACGAAATCCTTTCCATTCCGCGCTTTTCGATTTGGACAAAGCGTTGTCCAGACTGCCGTTTTTCTGAGAGAATAAACCGGCACAATCCACATCTCGGATATCATATAATTGATACATTTGCTCAAACATTTCCCTACTGACTGAATCTCCCTTGGAGATATCCATGGACATGGCAATAGCACGCCAAGAGTTGAGAGAATCTAGTAATGACATCCGGAAAATCACTAAAACTAAAACAAAACAACCCGCAATAAGACACTTACGAAGTGAAATAGTCCTCATGTCTGCAAAAGAAGGTCCGGCGAAACGCAACACTGAAAAACAATCTTCATTGGATCCAATCTGCAGAGTCATATGGTCCGCTTCGCAAAGAACCGAAATATCGTAAGAGAGCACAGTCTCGGTGTATCATATAATTTACGTCTTTGGATCAACATATCAGCATGTTTGAAAGATAGCCGTCTTTTGTTACCTTTTGAATTACCCTACAACATGTTATTCTATTATTGCGTTCTTCGTTTACTTTGTTTTTGGTTGCTTTTTTAAAGTTTCGTTTTTCTTTATATAATATTACTATTACAATTTGTTTGACGTCATCAGCTCTTCCAACAATAGCCTCGAATGCAAACTACATAATGTATAGACAGGACACACATGTCTGTTCTATTTCTCGTATTGAGAAGACTATAATATACTATATTATAATAAATATCACTAGTACCTAATAAGTGAGAAAAAAAAATTCAAAAATCACCCCCAAGCTATGTACTGAATATCTGCAAATGGCGAAAAGGCTAAGTGAAGAGTTGAATGTGAGAAGAAGTCGTCTTGAGTGAATCCGTAATAAAATAACTTATAGTCTTCTGATGAGCATCTTAGTATAAAATATTTCTATCATTAGAAAGGGAGTGGATAGAGTTCGAAAAGTATAAACAGAATAGAGGAGAAGCAGAGAATCAAACAACAATAAATGTTTGCCTATCGTATCACGATCGCCCACGGCCTCCCCCACAACTGTCACGACTTTGCATTAACTCAATAATCCCAAAATCGTTCGAACAACGTCACATACTCCTCAGTAGTGTAACTAACTCAGGGTTTTAACTCACTGTTTGAGCCACTCCGCTATGGACAATAAATAACGTAGTCAGCACCTCCCCCCCCCCGAGAAAACGGTCTTTTTTTCCATGCAGAAATACAAATCCATGCCTTCCAATGTGTTACACCAAAACACTTAACTGGTTGAAACCTTTAAAAAATGACCCTGTATGGAATTCTTTGTCTGTCTGCCTCTCTCTCCACCCTTCTAATTCTA